AACTCATTTCAAGATAAATAAAGAAAAAACAGGCTACGTTGGGTCTATTAACAAATATCACAGTTCAAGGCAAAGAGAATATCAACTTGAAGACACAAATAAATAAACTTGTGAAAATGATATATCCCCTAAGTAAAAAGATGTTTTCACATAACTCTCTGGAATATCAGGATGAAGAGAAAGTAAAGAACAATGAGTAAAGGTTAGAGAGTAAGAAATTTCAACTTTTAATAAGAGAATCAAGTCATGTTAGCAGTGCTAAAAAGCATAAATGAACTTGAAGTTAAATACATGTTAATGCTACAGAAAAGAAAACCATTGACATGACAGGACAAATACGAGAAACAACCTGCAGAAGAAGAAAAAATAGACAAAGAAAATAAAATCATAAAAAAGGCAATAAATATGGATAACAGTGTTTCTAGAAAAGAAATAGAAAAAAACTGATGAAAATATTAAGGGACTAAAATGAAAACAAAACAAAAACAAACATAGAACAAAGAAAGCAAAATAGAAAGAAAAAAATCAATGAAAAGAGGCCTGCTCAAGAAATTGTGATAAAAAATTTAAAGCACAAGGCTAAAAAAATAAAACCATCCAAATGCCAGGCTGATGTTAGACTTTTCCTTTAAAATACACTTAAAACAATGAAGCTTGCCCTACTATTTTTTTCAGAAAGAAGGCTGTGAATCAAAATATTAAACCCAGTTCATGATTATCTTTGTCATAATTAGAATGTCATTCTCAGTATGGGAAGCTCATAACAACTATATCTCCACAAATACTTAATAAATAAAGACATACTCTGAGAAATGAGGAAAAATTCAGCACTTTAAGAATTAAGAAATTATGCTGTAAAAAGAATAACAGTGGATATTGATTAACCTGAAAGTATAACTATGTGTTGTAAAAATCATTATAAAGCTAACTGAAAATGTAAGTTTTAAAACAAATGCAACAATTAAATTTTAATACCAATCTCTCTTAGTACCCAAGATTCTATGAAAAAATCCTATATAAAGCATTCAATATGATATTAATTTATTTTTAATTTTTAAATTATAGAAATAGAGAATACTTTTTAAAAACTTGATAGTAAAAACCAATAAACATAAAATAAACATAAAGCATAAGGCAAGATGAGAGCAATTAGACCTTGAATAATTATAGCAATAAATTTAAATTGGCCAAATTTTCTTAGTAAAAGATAGACTCCAAGATTGTATTTTTAAAAGTTACAATAAACTTACACCCAAACATAAAATATATGGGCTTTGCGCATACATGAAGAATATTAAAACAAAAACTGTTTATGAATCAAACTACAAAAAAGTCTCAAAAATTCTAAACCATAGTTATTATATGCTATTTATTTTCTGATCAGAGTGTAATAAAGTTAAAATCCAATAAGCAAAGTATAGCAAAATAAAGTTCTATGTATGGAAGTTAAGAAATACACTAATATACAAGTCTTGTGTTAAAAAGGAAATTGCAAGAGAAATTACATATAAAATGGCATTCTACATATAAACAATTATGCTATGTAACTAAAGCAATATTCAGAAATATTATTAGACTTAGAATGTACGCATTATTAAAAACGAATGTACTAAGTGTAATTGATCAACATCAAAAAGGAAGAAAGGAGGAAAAATAAAGATACTGCTATTTATTAATTTAAGAAGAAATAATTAGCAACTTAAAAGCTAGATAATATTATGGAAAAAACAACAGGAAAAAGTAAAAATATTCAAATAAAGAAAAAAGAATATAAAAGTGGTAACTAATTATAGATATAAGATATTTAATTACTTTAAAAATTATTTTATAAAGATCAAAGTTAATAAATATAAAAGCCTATATGAAATACATAAATTTCTTTAAAAATGCAAAATACCAAAATTGGCCCCCAAAACTGAAAACTTGATAGAGTAACAGCTATTATAAAAGGTATTTAAAACCATCCTGAACAATTGCACAGATGGCTTATAGCTGAGTAATAATAAACTTTAAAGACCAGAAATTTCTATCTTATGCAAATAATTAAGTCTCTCTGATAAAAGTCATTTCTGAAAATAGAAAAACAGGGAAAACTTACTAATTATATTGAAGCTAATATAATATGTGACAGCTATTGATTAAGCTACTCTAGTCAGATTTGTAACATATATGTAACTAATAGAAAATGCTATAAAATTTTAGAGTAGATCAGAAAAAATATTTGAATTAAACAGATATATTCCATGAACTTGGATTAAAAGACTCAATGTGATAAAAATGCCAGTTCTCTGAAGATTTACTAGTTTAATGTAATTACAATAAAACTGCAAAGAGTATTTCTCAAGGGAATTAATAAAGTGATTCAAATATTTTGTTGAATAAGTTGAAAAGTAAAGGAATTGTTGAAGAGTCAGATGATTTGTTTTATCAATGTTAGCGTATATTCTAACAGTATTGTACTGCAAAAAAATGAGAAAATGGAACAAAATATGTAGGCCAAAAGCAGTCTAGAGTGTAAAGGCACAAATTCTATAGATAATAATGTTGGCCTTCTAACCAGAGGGAAATGGGTAAATGAGCATTTAATAAAAATGCTAGCCAACCTGTCAACTATTTGGGAAAATTAAACTTTGGACCTGTCTTAGATTATATCACAAATTCTAGTGCATGCTTGATACCATTCCCATTCACTAAATGTCTAACCACTAACTATATGCCAAGAACTATGCAAAGACTGAGGATACAACAATGACCAAAAACATAGGAGCTTAGAGTCTAGTAGGAAGATATATAACAGGCCCAAAGCAGGACTGATTGAGATCATGTTAGTCTAATGTGTTTTGCCCAAGTATTGCAACACATATTTTTGCTTAAAATAAAGTAACTAAAAGAAACTTGTAATAGGAGACTTCATAAAGACTCCAATACATCATGACCCTCTACAATCACTTCAGGTTTTGTGCATAACCCTGCGAAAAATACCTAGTGCTATATGGTACTTAGACATGTATATTAATAGCATATGGAAATTTGAGACTGTGATAATGACAGTGTACAAGACACAAATGTTATCAAAGAGTGCCACACAGTTGATACTCAGTGGCAATCTCCTGAAGGAATCAATATATTAAATATAAAACAAAAGAGGATAAAAGAATTACAAGTAGAATGATGTGATATTTGCCTACTCTTGAAGTACAGACAAACTTCCAATTTTTAAAAACCAAAATTAAAACAAAGGTAACAATTTGTTTACTCAAGCTAAAAATCAGCCATGTCACATAGAATGGGTCTAGACCATGCAGCTGTCTACACTAGAATCAGCCAATTTTTCAGTGAAGGGCCAGAGAGAATATAATTTAGAATTTGCAGGCCATACAGTCTCTGTTTCAACTATCTTTACTGTTGTAGCATGAAATCAGCTATAATCAATCAATAAAGAGATGGCAACGGTTGTGTTTGAATAAAACTTTACAAGAAGTAGGCTAGAGATTGGGACAACGTGTCATAGTTTGCCAACTCCTGGTCTAGATCACGTTGTTGTCCACATAATGGTTCACACTTAAAACAGTATTTATGGAGCTTTGAGTACCTGGCTCAATTCAGAAAATGAAGGATATAGCCTTCCATATATTATTTCTGCTTTTCAGGCTCTTTAGCTTCCATAAAAGAATGTACACACTTCTCCCAGCTCCGTTATTTCCCAAAGACTAGGGGCCATACTCACTTGGCAATATGAAAGAGCTCTATTATTATTATAGGCTTTTGCCAGAGTATTCTACCTGATCTCACTGGCTCCAATATTTGTTAAAGTTGGGTTGAGAGTTAAAACATTCAGGGGCGAGTTCTTAAAGAACAAGTTGTCTATCCACTGTCCTAGAGAACCTACATTCTTCAACCAAATCAGAGCTGCAGAGAAATGGGTACCCAGAGTATATTAATACCTCTTCCTCCCACTCAGCCACTTCCTGCAAGACTTTTCTTTTTCTTCCTTACTCTTTGGTAGGAAGATATCAGTTAATTTACAAAGTCTAGAAGAAATAGGGAGGTTGTAAATAATGACAATATTTGTCTTCCACACTGGAGGATACTCTCCCAAAACAATGAAGAGTAAACTGCTTGGAGATGTATTCATCACTGTTTCTGTTTTACATGTTGGGGTTCTGAGTGGCAAATGTGGAAGAAGAGTTTATGTGGTTATCTACATCCGCCCCCTCTGGATCTACTCTTGGCCCTTCTGTGGCAGCACCTGACCTCAGGGGGCTGACCTCCTGAGATGCTGAGACCGCCTCCCCCAGGCTCCTTTGCCTGGGTTTGGCTGGAAGAAACATTAGCAGAAGGAAAGCAGGGTTGGAGTGTTTATCGCCCTTGCCCCCAGGATGCAGTTTTTAGCAGTGGCTGCACCTTATTAACGCTGCAGATATTGAACAGCCCTCCTTCAGGATGGGAATCTCTCTCTCTCTCTCTCTTTACATATTAAGCCAAAAGATGGTAACAGCTTCCTGCTGTTGCCAATCCCTGTGCACTTCACCACCCCTCGTTATTTCTATTAACTCTGTTCAAAGTCCGTACATTATACTCTCTTCAATTACACCCTTTGGGTAAGCCATCTGATGCTTATTAAGAACCTATTTCAGGAAAAGAAAGAAAAAGAGCCTTTTTAGAAAATCACTGCCTTAGAGGAAAGCTTATCATCAGGTACCAAAAATTCTGTAAAATTGAAAAAATACAACTGGAACTTATCACAGAACTGCACATTTAAGTTATAGCTTAAAATTAGATATGTTGTAAACTGCCACTCTAACAAATAAGCATTTAAATCAATGATTGTGCAATGAGGTCTACTTAAACTCTACCTTGCAATTCAATGAGACTCAAGACAATTTGTTATTAAAAAGCTGTCATTTGAAAGTTGATTATTCTTATTATTCAAACAAAAATATATAGGTAAAACTGAAACGGACAAGCACAGAGAAATATTTTGCAGATCAGCAGCATACCTCCTTGAACTTGTGACTGAGCCTGAGTGTGTCCAGCTCAGATGGGGAAACCATTTCCTCATGCTCAGGCAGCTCAAAGACTTCAATGGCCATGTCTCTGGCAGGAAGAGCAGCAGCAGCGGCTCCTTCCTCCTCCTCCTGCTCCTCCTGCTCCACCACCTCCTCCTCTTCCTCTGTGGCATATTCTCCAGTCTGAAAGGAAGGGGATTTCAGAAATCCAGCTGTCCTTACCAGAGGTGGAGGTGGGTTATTTGAAAATATGTTATAAAAGAGAAATAAAACTTGTCGCCAAATGGCAAAAGTGTAAGTAGACTTTAAAGTCAAGCATGCCTCATGCAGCCAACGTTATAAACAAATGTTAGTTCAAAGATCCAAAGTAACAAATCTATGCAATATATAAGTGCGTTTCTAAAAACCTAACAGTCAGTAGCATCTTTAGTATAGCAATAAGAGTGTTTCTTTTTTCAATCTATCAGATGGTTTTACTAAATAAAATTATGTTGCTAAGGGAAATAAGTAATTTCTTTAAATTCCCACCTCCTGTGTGAATAAGCCACCTACCACTGGGAGCAAGAAAGAGGGAAGGGGAGTCCAAAGATTCATAGAGTTGGAGGGGCCCTTAATTAAGTCTTGAAAAGGTTTATCAGATTAATTCTCCTAAGCTTCAGAGTTCAATCAGTTCTGTTTTGTTTGTTTGTTAATTATTGTGGTGGTTAACTAGTGAGCTAAACGGTAAACCAAAGGTTTCTAACTCACAGCCTGCACATGTGTATTGTTTTGCCTGTCTAATACTTCTACAAATCTGCGTATTTTGCCAATCTGAAAAACAAAAAGATTTCACATAAAGTTCTTTCTTGAGAAAGCCAAAGATCTGTCAATATAGATACACTGTGACATGATAAAAATTGGCCAGAGTTAGTAATGGTTGCTTCGTGGAGATGGTCATACACTTTATAATACACCATAACTCCCCTAACTTCATATTGTTCTACACTGTTAGCCTCACTCCTTTATAACACCCGCAGGCCCCTGTAGGTATTTGAGTTCATGACCCCTGGAATAATGTTCCTCTTTGCTACTAACTTCCTTAATATTATTAGAAAGTATCTCCTCTCCTGGCAGCATCAGGCTATGAGACTATAATTCAAAATCATTGTTTGAAATCTATGCCTTATAATTTAAAAATAAATCACTGATTCACAGGGTTAAAAAGACAAAGTTCATTTAATTCATCCCAGATCTTTCAGGTAGTACTTTATTTAACACATAAAACATAGGTAGGAATTCATATAGCTTTTAAAAAAACTTTCATAAACAGTTTACTGAATGATCTATTCCTTTGATTAAATAGGCTCAGCATCTGACTGCTGTTTTTCCTTTTGGTTCTGTACTATATTCTTCTTGCTAAAATTGAAACCCTTTATTATTTTAGTTTTTTTTTTTTTTTACTATGTTTGTACATGAAGGAAATCTGGTCATTAACCCTAATGTAATAATTCCCAATGTCTGGAAAACCATTGTTAAATTGACTTCAGACTTGCCTCAACAGGTCTGAAATGCATTGTCTGTAACTGTCTTTGTGGTTGTACTCTGACTTTTTCAAGTTCTTCACATTTCTTTAAGTTGTAGAGCCTGGAAGTAGACACAACTTCTAACAGGAAATCTGAAGGCCATTGGCCATGATGAACAAACACACTGCCTCAGTGTCCTTCAGACTCTGCTTCCCACACAGAGCTTATTATCATGAAGACCTTGACTTTGGTCACATTTGTGTATAGAAGAAGCAAGCTCAGAATATTACATGCAGAGCAATGATTTTCCAAACTAGTTATAGGTTAGCTAGAGGTCCCCCCCCTCACGCTTCCCCCACCAATAAAATCAGAGAGGCTCTGGCTGAAAGGAAAAGAGGTTGGTGGCCTCCTTCTTGATCCTATATATCTCCTCAGTACCTGAAACTCTGGGACTCTTTAGAAATCAGTCTGAAAATGTCTCAACTCTAAGTACCACTCCAAATGTCTTTGGCACTGACAGGGGAAAGGTATTAATAGCTGAAGAATGACTGCTAGTTGGTTCAGATTGCTTTTGTATATTAGTATAATGAGGTCTTAAAATCGTAAAAGGACTCTAATTCTAGGTTTGATATGATTTTTGCAGTATTCTGTAAATTAATCCATCTATTTATGTATACTTTTAGAATCAATGGGTACTTTGTAAATCCCAGTGATGTTAATTAACATGAATGGAGCGAGGCTGGTAAATAATCTCAACTTGTTGAAAGTTTTCATGTAGAAGTATAAAACTGTGCACTTGTTTTCAACCTATAATTACAAAGCCAAGCCTTAATTATGAATGCTTAAACCAGGTATATAAAATTCAGTTCTATATAATCAATTTGAATAGCATTGAATGACTCAAGAAATCTTAAGCTAAATTTAAACTCTGACTAAACCACAATAATGTGGCACATGTTAAATATGAGTTGAAATGAACAATTTGATTTCCCTTTGCCAGCTTGAAAATAAATACTTGTTCATTATATGTGAGAGAACATAAATGTGTGCCTAAGGATGAGGCCTGACATATAACAGGATCTCAATAAATATTTCAAAGAGAATAAATCCAAAAATGCCAATTGTATTTACTTGGTAATATCCAGAACTTCCTACGGAGGTTTTCAATAATATCAAGAAAATGAACTACAGTCACTGGTTAAGAAGGCAGTATTCTGTTATACATATTTTTAACAACCTTATGGTGAATAACAGGATTAGAGAATATATAACATATGTAATTTTACCTCTAAGTATAGTTCTGGCTCTGTCATCCATATACACTTCAATTATCAAAATTATCTTCATAAATGTAAATTATTAAGAATTCTCCTTCTTGATTCTTTTGTTGAGTTAGCTAGTCTCCTCTCCTTTACAATACCCAAATTGCCTGCAATCCTGCTAAAATTCTTATCATTCATCTTTCCAATGTTTTCTCTTCAATTAGCCTTAGAAGCATCCAAAGGACAAATATATCTTTTACTGTCTTGCTTCTACTTATTATTTAGTATACGCTATGGATAGGGTGTTGAAAAACTATGTTGTCATTCTCTTTTGATGATCATCTGCCATTCCCACCATGAATAGGCTTTAGGATACATTTATTATAGAATCTCATAAACATCTGGAAATAAAAAAGTTATACTTAGTAGACTAAGAATAATAGCTTCTTCTGGTTCTTTCATTTTTACTGGAAATGGAAATTATTTTTATGGTTACACTGTAAGTAAAATAAATGAGATGGAATTTGTTAGTATAATAGAATGCTGTAAACCTCAAAACTAGATGGGATTGAATCTGCCATTTACAAAGGAAAATGGACAATGTTATACTCCCACCCCCCCCAAATTTGCTACAATAAAGTATTTCCATTGGAATCCAACTCTTCTTCTGTTTCTGGCCAAATTTAAAATATTTCAGGTATCAAGAGACTCTTGAAATTCTTTGTCCCAACTCACAAATGCACTTCAAATGTGGAAGGAACAGTGCTTAGGGTAAAATATGACAGAAATAGTAAATGTTCCTTTTCATGTCCTTGTCTACTTTCTTGTACTTTTTAATAGCCCCATAAAAGGGGGGTGGCGAAGTGAAGAACCATCCCTTTGCAACTTACTGTGTGCCTATCATTGCACATTCCTCAAGAACTATGTAATTTGGGCATACTGTACTATCTTAATTTTGAGGAAACTGAGACTTGAGACTTTACTTAAGGTACGACAATTAGTTAAGTTACTGAAGCTACATTTAACATATTTCAAAGCCCATGCTCTTTCTTCTATGATATGCTGCTTTCAGTCTATAGTAACTAAAGCTTTGCAGAAAAAAAAATCAGGAATACATTTCTTTCATATTTCCACAACCCCAAACCCTGGTGCAAAATCTATTGTGTTGAGTTGCACCTTCCATAACTTTGAACATTATCATTCAATTCACTTTTTGAGCACCTTGAGCAAGTGCACAGAAGTCCCTTTTGAAAAGATGGGGAACAGTAGTTGGTGGTTTAATTGTAATATAGAGATGAATCATTGAAAAATAAACTAATACATATACACACACATCATTTTATGGTAACTTAAATCATAGAAGTATTTATTTATTTGCCTAACTTTTAATTGCATGGCTAACTGTTCTTGTTGACTTATGAGTCTGTTTACTGATGTTTCATGTACTCTTATATAAACCACAACCACAGCATTAGTCTATAAAATGATTGCAGTGTCTTTACAATGGATTTAAAAAAAAATCCTTGCAAGGCAAAATGGGCACAAAATTCCCCTAGCTTTTTATGGTCTCCTCCTATCTTTTACCTTCTCACACCTAATTTTCTCGAGCTAGCAGTCTTTATTACATCTTCCCAAAGCATTGCATCTAGTAACTTCCTTTACACACATATTACATCAGAGCACTTAACATTTTATTAAATAACACAATTACAATAACGAGCACAGCCAAGAGGTTTTGCCTCTTGGTAAGCACACAACTTTTGACTAGTGGGAGTAGAAGTATGTGGACATGCTAGAGTCCGGAACACTCATGAGAGTTGTAGATCTCAGTCTAGGTTTTACAGAAGGAGCAGAGAGTATCTATTATTGAGAAACTTAGCTTCAATTTCTTCATCTATAAAGTGAAACACAAATCGTTCCTTAGCATAACAAGGTTGTCAATGAGATTGAGTTAAAATGCTACTTGTGTATTAAACACAAGGTCTGGAACATGGTGTGTGCTCACAATAAGTAACTGCTGTTGTTACTACTGCTGGTACAAATACTGCAGTAGTAATGTGGTAAAGCCTCTCTAATCTGTATCTTATATCCAAGCCCAAGGAAACTTCCACACCTCTGCTCTCCCTGCTTACTGGCCTCCACCCACCCCAGTGATCCAAGATGAATATCATCTACATTAGAACATCTTGTGATGCTGCTACCCTTAAGACTTTCCTAATCTACTCCTTTATGCTCCTACTATATGCATTACATCACTCATAACACTTCGATGTTTTTATATCTGCCTTCTCCCATCAACTTCTTTCATCTGAAAGTTCCTGGAGAGTGCCAGGTACAATTTATCCCTGCAATCCCAGCATGGCTAATACATTGATTGGCATATAGTGGGCACTAAACAAATATTTGCTGAATAAATTCG